CATCTCAAAAAAAAGAACATCAACTGCTCGCAACCACCATGCCGACGAATTTTAACTGGATCATTAATCAGGATATCATGAAGGTTGGAATGTTTCATGCGAACCCACAACCAATGATGTGACACCTGTGACAATCTGCCGCCACAACAGTCCATCTCCAGGATCCACGGGGCTAGTCCGAGGTGGACACTACAGGTGCTTAATCAATCTTCCAGAAGAATCCGGAAGATATTTTGGAGATACTTTTCTATTATCTTCCCGAAAATGTATGAAAATATTGGAGATACTTCCATCCAGGGTTATTGGTTGGACCCTTGTCGAAGGAAGTTTAGAAGTCAAACTTCCGACAATATGGACAGATGAAAAGCAGAGCAGGGAAGAGGCAGAGAAGAGAAAGATTAGAAGAAAGAAGAGTAGAAGAGAAAGAGTTAGAAAAAAGAAGATGCAGATGCGCGAAAAGGTAGGAAAGTCGCGAAACACTGTGTTTTTCCAATGATTTGTGGCTCCGGAGGGTCGAAGAGTAGGCTCGCTAAAGCGGCGGGTGCAGAGCCAGCTGGCCAGACGAGAGATGAAAAATTGCACGCCGTTGTGGCGCGAAGCACATGTCGAAGTGAAAATGTGCAAAGCACACCATTCTCGGACCACTTTTGGCAGTTGAGATGTCGAAGACGTGCACGCCGTTGTGGCTCGAAGCACATTTCCAAGTCAAAATGTACAAAGGACTAGGGCTTTTGGCAGTTGAGATGTCGAAAAAGTGCACGCCGCTGTGGCGCGAAGCACATTTCCAAGTCAAAATGTACAAAACACACCAGCTCCGGACCACTTTTGGCAGTTGAGATGTCAAAAAAGTGCACGCCGTTGTGGCGCAAAGCACATTTCCAAGTCAAAATGTTAAAAACACCAGGGGTTCGGACCATTTTTGGAGGTTCAGATGTCGAAAAAGTGCACGCCGTTGTGGCGCGAAGCACATGTCGAAGTGAAAATGTGCAAAGCACACCATTCTCGGACCACTTTTGGCAGTTGAGATGTCGAAAAAGTGCACGCCGTTGTGGCGCGAAGCACATTTCCAAGTCAAAATGTACAAAACACTAGGGGTTCGGACCACTTTCAGATGTCGAAAAAGTGCACGCGGTTGTGGTGCGAAGCACATTTCGAAGTCAAAATGTTAAAAACACCAGGGGTTCGGACCACTTTTGGAGGTTCAGATGTCGCTTCGCTTCGCACTACGCTACACTACACTACACACTACACTCCACTACACTACACTACACGACACTACAGGTCCACAACATACAACACTACACACACAACACACAACACACTCACACACGCAAACTAAAACACACCACACACGACACAAAAACGACACTACACTACACTACATTACACTACACTCCACTCCACTACACTACACTACATTACACTACACTACACTACCTTCCACTACACTTCACTACATTACACTACACTCCACTACAACTACAACTACAACTACAACTACACTCCACTACACTCCACTACACTCCACTACACTCCACTACACTCCACTACACTAATTTACACTACACTACACTACATTACACTACACTCCACTCCACTACACTACATTACACTACACTACACTCCACAACACTACAACTACAACTACACTCCACAGATAGATAGATAGATAGATAGACAGACAGTTAGCTAGCTAGCTAGCTAGCTAGTTAGTTAGTTAGTTAGTTACTTAGTTACTTAGTTAGTTAGTTAGTTTGTTAGTTTGTTAGTTTGTTAGTTTGTTAGTTTGTTTGTTAGTTTGTTAGTTTGTTAGTGTGTTAGTGTGTTAGTTTGTTAGTTTGTTAGTTTGTTTGTTAGTTTGTTTGTTTGTTAGTTTGTTAGATAGATAGTTAGATAGATAGTTAGATAGATAGTTAGATAGATAGATAGGTAGATAGATAGGTAGGTAGGTAGGTAGATAGTCAGAGAAAGAGCGAGAAAGAGTGGGAGACCTCAAGCACCTTTCGGTCCATCAGTGGATTCGCTCTGCCATCCCTGATTCACAACAACCAACCTCTCCTATAGGTTTCCTATTTTTGAAACTTCCGCCACCGCCTTGTGCGGTACTACTGGTATGTACCGCTATTCTGTGGAATTTCTATAATCCATAAGTATTTTTGGATGGATACGGGTTACGGCTGCAGAAAGGCCCTGTCCAGCAATCAAGTGTTGGTGAGCTGTAGCCATTTCATCAATGGCGGATATAAAGAAACTGAGATATCCTGGCACAAATTCATGTCTACCACTCTCGGTGTCCTACATGGCTTCAATCGGGGTGGCCTTATGGCAGCCATGTTCGGGTTACCTCGTATATGGTTATCCCATGTTATCATGTTATCCCATTAGTTGTTGTAGCAATCGCACAAGACAAAATATAAACTTCAATGGGAAAAACCACCTGAAGAAATTGTGGTTTGACAACTCTTGGGGCCGTTGAGAATACTCGCTTGAAAAAATCGGTGGGTTATCTCCAAAGTCAACTTTTAACTTGAATCCAGACCCGTGACCCCAGATTCTGAGAGCTGTACCCTAGAATGCCCCTACCTCCTAAAATAAGGGTACGACATTGAGACTGCACCTGGAGACTGCACCAGGCGCAGTCGGAATGCCGTACCATTATTAATTTGGGGGGTTGGTGCCTACCCTTAAATTCGGGAATTCAGCCACTTTTGTTTGGACCCCCAAGTTCCACCGGTTTGAATCTTCGTGTGTTTATAGCACTCTACGGGTATTTATGCACTTTTAAGCCTTGCCGAACATGGTGCGCCAAAAGATGAAGTGCCGTTTTTATGTGTAAGAATTAGAAAGTGACACAAAACTAGGCAACTTCCAAGACATCTGATTTATACTGGATATATGAGATACCAATCATCAAGTCTGGGTGTATTGGAAGTATCGCCTGTTCTCCTGGTCATTCATCTCGAAGGCCATATGGTTTTGCTTGAAAATAGGGTATCTCAAATTTTGATGGTTAATCGTTGTTTGCCCCATGAAATGGCTATCTTTGGGGGTACCCCGGTATACCCCATCGTAACGGACCCATGTTTGAATCATGATCAGATGCACATACCATGTGATAATACCAAAACAGCCCAAAAACACCAATTTCCATCAAATGCGCGCACCCTTCAGAAAACCTTTGAGTGAATCTCTGAGAGAATCTGGAGCTCGTTTGAGTCCTCGGTGAACCAATCCCCAAGTGGCCTGCTGATGATCATCCTCATGAGCTCGGTTTTTTAGAAATATGTACAATATGGCGATGACAGTGTGTGCACATTTGCAACGGAAATGCAAAAATTAACGGCATAAATATACCTACAAATGTATATAGCTTGTGTGTAGATATACGCCTAAATCAAAGATAGATTTAGGATGATTTAGGTACATATCTATCATATCTGTAGGTGTGTCATGAAAAGCGAATCTTAGGTCAGGCTTTTTTGTCTTCAAGACTCTGCAGTCAAGACTTGCACCACCTATTTTTTTCAGTGGCTATATATGAAAAAGTCACTCGATCCATGGCTTGCTGGAAAATTTGATGGAGGGTTTCCCCATGGATCTGTCTGGAGAGCAATTCCATTCACCATTCTTCACCACTAGCCACTATTAACCATTAACCATTTATAACCAGATTATTAACCATTATTAACCACTTATATAACCATACTATTAACCATTAACCATTGTTCACCATATTTTTAGCCATGGTAAATATCCCAAGTTCAAAAACCACTGGGCAGCGTTTTTGGGTCCGCCCAGCCCTTTGCCCCCAGGCTGCCCGGCATTGGGTGACTTCTCTCCGGATGTGGCTCCTGACTGGCAACATCACATCGTTGCAAACCATCATCAAATTAGTAGCGATTCACCTTCTCATCTCTTCGGGGACTACTCTCTCTGAATATACAATACAATACAATACAGTACAGTACAGTACAATACAATACAATACATATATATATATGCACTGCCCGCCTGTTTTCAACTCATGCAACGCCTTTACAAAGGTACGGGACAGACATGGCCCAGAATGGGATTTGCAAAACGCCTGCATCTGTCGTAAACCGAGCTGCGCAGGGTCAGATGCAGTCAAAAAAAGGCAAATTCCCCATCCAAAAGGGGCTGGGTGGGCTTTGGGTGCCCAAAATCTAACAGTCAGGAAATGCATGATGAGATCATGCACTGCCCGCCTGTTTTCAACTCATGCAACGCCTTTACAAAGGTACGGGACAGACATGGCCCAGAATGGGATTTGCAAAACGCCTGCATCTGTCGTAAACCGAGCTGCGCAGGGTCAGATGCAGTCAAAAAAAGGCAAATCCCCCATCCACTTCTGAAAAGGCCGGCACCTAGAGTGCGAGCTTCACACAGTGTGGGTTTCTAAGAAACCTGATGCCTAATGAGTAGCGAAAAAAGAGCTGCAGCAGATCGGATCCGATTTTTAGATCGATCAGGCAACCGACTCATGATGTTGTCGGCTGCAGTTTCTTGCAAATAATGTTCGAGTGTTTGTTGACTTGAAATCCTCATTCTCCACATGAGGTCCTGGATTTTTTCTCCAGATTGGTACGCCAAAATGGCGCCCCCTGCTCGAATCGAAGCAGGCGTGGGTCTCTGAGAAGAAGGGACTTCTAGTTCCACCAGAAGTTGGTCCCACTTGGCTCTAAAAGTCTGTGCAGAAAAAGGGTAAAGAGCTAGATTGCAGTTCAGAGGACCCACAACTCTCTCCAAAAAGGCCAAAATATTTTGGTCGGTAATTTTCAAATGCTGTGTTCGACCCTTGCCCCTGCGCTTGGTTTTAGGGTTGGAAACACGCAAAAAAGCTGCTGACACCAGGTTGCTAAACTGTTCGGAAGGTAAGACCAAGTCACTCCGCAAAGCTCGCAACACCTCAGAAATGCGTGCTATGCCGAAGAAACCCAGTAGCAGTACTGCTGTCCAGCGCTGCCAATTCTTCAAAATTGCTAGCGATGCCATTGCTTGACAAAGAACTGTAGCGGTTTTCTGTGCTGAACTGGTTGAAGAACTTGCCAACGAGTGATCAACTGCCATGCAGGAGAAAGGTGAGGCTTCACCCAGGGGAACCGCTGTTGAATAATGACCAGAAGATGCCTAAACTCATATAGACCATGTCCTCGTGAGAAAAGGAAAAACCCATAAAAACGGAGCAGGGCCACATAGAGTGTAGGACACAACTGCAGATCATCAATGGTCGATTCACTCAGGTGCTGATCCAACCACGTTCGGAAAGCGGTCCAAACGCGATCTTGCAAAGCCAGGGTGGCAGGTTCAACTAGCCGTACATTTTCCAACAACTTCACATCTCGGGCAACCCGTTGGGCTTTCTGAGGGCCCGGGTTCTGAGCTTCGCCAATGCGGCAGTGGCTGCATTTCGCACATCCACCGATGTTCAACTTTGTGTTCTTTTTTGTAAGCCCTGCACCAGCTGCCATTGCACTAGCTAGATCATATCCCAGTTGTTGAGGGTAGGCCTGAGCCAGTCGAGTCCAGGACATCTTTTGGGCCTTGCAACGACCACGAAGTATCACATGTGAATGATCTCCATGGCAAAGCTCACGGCGCCCACTCAAACAAGTGTTCGTCGCAATCCTTGTTCGTTTCCTCCAAGGAGTATGGTAACGGCACATGTCAAATCTGAAGGCCGCTTCTGGAGATCCAAAACCCTTCTCGCGCCAATCAGTCAGAAGCCAGAGGAAAGAACCATCTGGATTCTCAACCCAGTAGAGCAGGCCCATTTCTTGGCAAATAACTAAAAGCTCCAAAAGAAACTGTGCATGACTGTTTCCCACCTGGACCTTTCGTTGCATATTTTCCGAGATCTGTGGAAGACCTTCGGGTCTGAGCGCACTGCGTACTGCGGGTGTAACGGCTCTGGAAAAGCTGCAGCACTCCGGAGCCGCACCCATCCCGTGAAAACAGCCAGCTAAAAGGCATCTTTTGATATCGGATCGAAGAGACTCATTGAGAAGATCTTGTCTGGGACTGTGTTCGAAATCAAAGGTGACCACAAAAACAGAAAATCGCCTAGCCATAGGGCGAGCAAAAGAGGCTTTGCCGCTGAAGAGATCCAAAAAACCCTTCCGCTGGAAATCCAAAACTTCATCAGGTCTTGCTCGCCTTCCATCAGGTTTGATGAAGCACTCCCTCGGTAGAAGAGCCAAGGCTGCTCTTGCTTCACTGGACAGCAAAGCAGACTTCACATTTTCCATGGCTAGCCCACCCCGCTGACGACGTGAGACGGATTCACCTACGGGGGGCTCATCAGGAGAGCCGGTGCCTACTACTTTCTTCATTTCTGCAGGCTGGGGTCGGCCTTCACAACCAACAAAAAGATTCAGGTGCCTCCGGTTCGTTTTCCCTGGAGGTTCTTCATTGGAGTTCTTGGTTTGGCCGTCAGGCTCTTGTACCCCTTCATCTTTCGCAACCAAGACGGGTGAAACGTGACTAGACGAAACGGTATTGCTACCTACGCAATTCTGCTCTTCAGTTTTCTTGGAAACAACAGCATGGTGAGGGCCAAAGGCAAGTTCAGCATCTTGAGGCCTCTTGTGATCCTTTTGTTCATTGGCCCCAGTGGCCGGAGTTTCAAAAGTCTTCCAATCCTTCGGATCGGTTCCGTAGATTTTCTGATCAAACTTTGCTAATCGCTCGGTTTTCTGTACAGCTCGCAGCTCAGCTATCAAGCTATGTTCAAGGACATCCGCTTTGGGAGCTGTACGCAAAGGAAAAGGAAGCTGAGCAATGTCTAAAGGATCATAGCCACGCTCACCCAACCAAACATCCAAAGCATCAAAGCACCCAGAAAATGCTGCAAACAGCCAATCAGGAATGGGCCTGGATGGAGGCCTGATATCAGTCCACCTCGTCGGGTCATCACTGACGTTCGCTTTTGATGGGATATAGCCATAGCTCCCATAGAGCCCTGCTCCAAGAACGGTAGGCAAGCTCTTCTGTAGCAGTTCGTTCAGGTGTGGTGAGCTAGACCTCCCCTTCAACACGGCAGCAATGACAATCTGGCTGTCACAACCGCAGAGGTACCTGCTGTCTTGCTGATAGGCTGCGATCTTCTTTTCCAGCTCCAACAAACTCTCCATCTCAAGCAAGTTGATGTGTCTACGGGAACCTACTCGTTTTCGGTGATGAAGCTCAAATCTCAAGCACTGAGCCAAAATCAGCCACAAAGGGTGACTGACCAGTGGAACACCATCTGGCATGGCATCTTCCTCATCCAGTTGAAAGTGTTGCTTTAACCATACCTTCCACGGAGTCAACAACCGGGTCCACGCACCTCGAGCAAGCGCGTGTCGGTGCAGCTCTCTGGCAAACGGCAACGGCAGTGCAGACACCACAGACGCTTTCATATCTTCTGAAGCATCTGTCAAAAACAGCTTCCCCAAAGTTTGGGCTCTGAGGTCGGTTACAGCAAGAGGCCCAAGGCAAACTAAAATCCAAAGCTCTGACTGCAGTGAAGGCGAAAGCTCAATGATCATGTCTTCTTCTCTACCGTGTTGAGCTACATAGATCTCATCCAGCAAGCACAACATGCGTCTCCGAAATTGAAGGACACTAATCCAAGCTCCCGCCAAAGTCTGCAGCAGTAACATAGTGGCAAACCCAAGGCGTGCTGTCTTCGCTGTCAGATCCATCAAGGGGATGAGTCTTTTGGGATTAGCACGAATAGATCCAGCTATACTATTCACCGATGCTCCCCAAAACTCGGCTTCAAACTCAGCTTCAAAAGTCTTACCATCATGAGGTGTTAGATTCTTACCAACATACTCTTCCTTAATCGCCCTCAACCTTTTTGCACCATCAGTCCTCCTCAGCTCTGCCGGAGTCAGCATAGCGGGAACTTGCTCCAAAAACACGGCATCGTCGATGATGACCCCACAGCTGATCTTGCCGCGCGGGCCACGGCCATGGACGCAAAGCAATTCATGAGGATGGATGGCTTCACACTGCATACCTATCTTACCGTGGACCATCTGACCCATCTCTACAGCTTGACAATCGCCCATAGCCATAGTTGCAAGACAGGGATATAAAGTGCTATGCTGCCACATGTCGGGAGTAAAACAATGCAGTTCAGAAGCTTGTGCTGGTGATAGGGGAAAATTGAATGTGTTGCGACATGCTCTCTGTTTGGTGACCTTGAAACAGTAGTAATAATCACGAAGATCGGTGCCACTCATGCTGAGGTTGCATCCAGGCTCCAACTCAATCTGCAAAATGGCATTCACCGACCCCAGTGTTTTGGTCCAACTGCACAAAGTCTCCTCCAACATGTTTGGGGGTCTGGCGTCCAATATTAATCTATCTTTCTTCTCATCTTTCACCAAACAAAAAGCGCCGCAAAGAAAACCATCTCGAACTTTTTCTCTGGGAACGAGTCTCAACCGGTGATGTTCATCCAGGAATCTGAACAGTCCTAAAGCTTGGTCTTTGCTACCGTGAACACGCACCCTCGGAGGCTCCAACGAAAAATCTTCTGGTGAAATAGCACAAGAAATAGGATCTTCATAAACCTTCTTGTGTGGTTCTTCTAACATGGATGAGGGATCAAAGGCCGGAGCATCCTGAGGAAAAGAAAGCCGCGAAGGCTCCACACACTTCGCCAGCTGAGGCGCAGGCTTCTGCAAACGACCAACTACACGTCCAGGATCCCCTTTTTGGTGACCAGGCTGTGGCTCATTCCCATCAGATCGTTGTGCTGCAGGACGGTGCTCATAAGGGGCAGCAGTCTTCGCCGCTGCCGTCTCGAGCTCAACAAGGAGTGAAGACAAGCTCTCCACTTTGGCCGCCGAGCGTCCCATAGCGGCTGGACCAATGTCGCCAACCTGGAGGAACTCGCTGATCAGCCTCTCATATCTTTTCACCACTCCCCACTGCTTCTTCGTCAAGGAGGAGCCCAAAGCTAAGGTGGCAGGAGCAACCAGCGGTTTACCTAAATGAAGCCACGAAGATGAAAGAATCATGAGGTTGACAGCCTTCTCGACATACATCTGCTTGTAATTTACCTTACTCTTCTCTACCCGCACCATCCACTGTGGATAGGGAGCTGGTACAGGCCAAACGGGCTGAGCCGTGCCCTTGTCTGCCAAGGGTTCATGGCGTCCAAGAGTTCGCAAAAAACGTGCAAAGCCAGACTTCCCACTCAGGATCCAGCGAACTAAGGAATTCCAGAGCTTGCCAATGTTGGAAATGGGGGCAAGAGCTCCAGGTACTGATAGGATTGCAGCTGTACCCTCAGCTGGGAACACCTCTACAAAGTGGCAATCCTCTTCCAGCTGAAGTTCATAGTCGGCACTCACTGAGGGGTCGAGGATGAAGCCGCTTCCTCGGGCTCCTTCCCTTTCTTTCCTCCTTTTCCCTTGCCCTTCTTCTGATCGTTCTTGGGCGGCACCTCCTCCTTCTTGGTCTTGGTCGCGGTGAGCTTCAGCTTCTTCTCCTGATACTCCGCGAAGTCCTTGAGTCTCGAAAGGAAGAGTTCGCTCCACCTTTCGTCCATCAATCTGGTGTGCTGCACTTCCCATTGCTCCGGAGGACTGTGTTGGGCGAAGCTTGCATAGGGCGGCGGGGGCTCTAAGGTCATCTCTGATGCCAGAAGCCATCCCCCTCTGTCGCACGCTTGTTGGTCGAAGCAAGCTGTGGCTAGGGCCGCCCTCGCTCTGGCTTCGTCTACAGCTCCTCGCATGAGGCAGTCCCAAATGCCGGCACAAAGCCAAGCAGCTCGAATGGTCCCTGGGTAGGAGCTGATTCTGGAGCGATGCTCCAACCAACCCCGGGCAGAGATCTGAGTGATCATAGCTCCTGGAAGTCGTTGACCGCCCATCTCCCAATCCTCCTGCATGTGGCCTTCGACCGCCTGATAAATGAGCTTCGGGTCTGTGTGCAGTAGTTTGTGCAACGATCGGAGAGCAGCCGCCTTGCTTCTTGTAGAGCCCACGGAATCCTTTGCTGAGCCAGATTCTGCGCGATCTAGAATGAGACTCTAGGTCGCGATCCTTCTTCTGCTTCTTTTCTTTCCGCATCTCTTTGACGATCTTGCTCAGGCTGACCACTGCCCGATTCATAGGATCGAGACTGCCAGAAGCGGCGCCCAGATGCTCGTCCTCTTCGTCGCTGTCGCTGACCAAGGCTTTGTCTGCGGCCTGCGGCGCTGCGGCGGGAGTCATCTGATTTTGCTGCTGCAACAAAAGGGCCACTTCTTCTAAAGACTTTTTGGGGACCCCAGCCATTAGCGCTTGCTGCACTACATGAGGATCCAATCCAGAGGGCGGTGCGAAGGAGACCCGCGGAGGATCTGGCTTTCTTGGACCATGGTCGCCATGAAGAGCAGATGGACGGGAGGAAGCCGCTCCCGGTTTCAACTGCTTCAAATTTTCTAAAATCTCGGCCATGGTGCCTTCCAGCTGACCCAAACGTGCTTCGACATCTGGAGTGCCATACACTGGTTTTGCTCCGCCGCTTTCGGCGCTGAGGAACACGAAGTGGTCGTGAGAGATGGCCACCAAAGCTTCGGCATGAGGCAGCATAGGCAACCCGACCGTGTCTGAATGGAACAGGATGTCGTCCGGCAAAGCGTCCAAGCCGTAGGCGACGAGGTCCACATAAGTCGGCCTTCAAAAAACCTAACCAGATTTTGATGCCTGTGCCATCCTCTGGTACCGTTCGATCCAAACCGGATCCAACTCTGGCTTCGACGCGAACAGCCTTCTGCAGAGCGTCGTCCGGCATATGGCGACGTGCCTTCTGCCGATGCCATGCCAAATCAGGCACAGCCACAAGTGCTTGTTGATCAACTTCACAAACCCCTATGATACTAACTTTGGGCCTGCTTCCAAAAGAAATAAAACCAACTTGATAGTCAAACACAATCTGAGAATCCGAGGTCACAAAATTGTCAAAGAGCCCAGTTGCCTCGGGTACAGCTGAGCCCTCCTCTTCTGCAACGTCACTCAGCTCCTCAAGGCTGGCCATCCAGGCCAATCAACTCAGCTGGCAGGACTAAGCCTGCCGCCAAGACAGCCAGGTAGCACTCGCGCTTGGTAGGAAGCCCAATGAAGATGCTGTCACCCACTTGTCCTCGGCACGGGACCCTTTCCTTGCAATCGGGCCAGTTGGACAAGAAGAGTGGAGGATCGTAGAGGTTGCGATGAAAATCACGCACCACCAAGTAGTAGCGTGTCTGCTGGGGAATGCGCTCACGGCCAGACAATCCTCTGGCCACACCGTCGATGCTCTTTGTCAGCCAACGACCAATGTCGCGAGCTGCGGCCTCACGTTCAGGCCCAACGTGGTATCCAGCAACTGGAGCTGAGGAAGCCTGAGAGGACCGAGTAGCACTGCTCACTTCCCTGGCTGGTGAGGCAGAAGCCCCAGGTGTCCTGCTCTCCAAAGCGGAGAGCCTTTCTTGGACTGATCGAAGGTCAGATCGGAGATCACCGGTGTCAAGCTGAAGTCGCTCAACCAGTGCAATGAGGGTATCTAACTTGGTTTCAATGTCACTAGCTGTCACCCTCATACAAGCCTATACCACTCACCTTGCCTCGCCACCAAATCCCTCAATCTGGTCCTCACCCACCAACGCCAAGAGGCACGTAGCAGGATTAGCAGGTCCAACAAAGGGCCCAAAGATAGCCCTACCAGAATGCCCACAGCCACGCTGAGCAGATCCAGTGAAGCCCAAGAAATTGAAGGTAAAGTTGGCAGAGGGCAGTCACAAAGAGGGCACTCAACTGAGACAGGCACAGGAATAGGAGACTGAACGGTTTCGGTCAGAAGTCTCCAGACTATGGCTGAAAAGGATCCTCCGGCCGCTCCTAAGGTGAGGGGCCTGTCAACCATTAGCCCGTGCCCAAAATCTAACAGTCAGGAAATGCATGATGAGATCATATATATATATATACATTAGTTGTGAGATGTAAAGCATAGATACTCAAAACGGTTCACCCTATCCAGGCTCACATCCGCATAGCTTTTTCTTCCCAGACTCTTCGTGCGGTCTCAACCTGCTCCTCGCAGGATAGTGCTTTGGAACGCTGTGCAGGTAGTCTCCTGCACAGCAGCACTGGTTGGATCCGTACACCCTGTTCCGCACTCCTGTAAACTCAGGAGGCTGCACAGGTTGAATCTCTCCCGCCCAGTGCTACAGTCGTGGGACTCCACGTAGAGATCAACATCCTCAATGATGTGATCCCCTACAAGAGAGGATACTCCACCGGAGTCCTATCTCATAGGGAGGGAAGGGAGGGAAAAGAAAGAACGATGAAGCCAGTTTGGCTCAGACTTGAGCCAAAATGGATTCATCAGCTTACATACTCACCCTAATGATAATGCACACCCAGTGCCTGCCAAACACGATGCATACATACATTAGTTGTGAGATGTAAAGCATAGATACTCAAAACGGTTCACCCTATCCAGGCTCACATCCGCATAGCTTTTTCTTCCCAGACTCTTCGTGCGGTCTCAACCTGCTCCTCGCAGGATAGTGCTTTGGAACGCTGTGCAGGTAGTCTCCTGCACAGCAGCACTGGTTGGATCCGTACACCCTGTTCCGCACTCCTGTAAACTCAGGAGGCTGCACAGGTTGAATCTCTCCCAATGCACTTCTATCCCAAAGCACTCAGAGAAACTCCACAACCCGGAGAAACGCGGGAAGTGGTAGAGACCAAATCTCGAAGGGGAAAAATGCAAAATGCGTGGTGAACCCATGGCGTCTATGCCATGTTGCCTGAAGGCCATCTCTGCTGATCTCGTCTGACCAGTTGGCCTTACTAGGGATCCACTCCCAGAAAAACCAAGCTTTAAGACCAAAAAGGGTAATATGAATCAAACGAGACATATGCTCTAAATCTGCATTGTCAGAACGACCTCGAATCAAAGCCATGAGCGCTGCCGTGTTGTCAATGAACCAGAGGCCTCGTCTGCCCCGAAACATGGCCGGCCGTGAAAACAAAGCGTAGAGAACCTGCAGCAGCTCTAACTGGGCAATCTTCTTGTCACCAGGCTCCCATAGGCTGTACACCAATGGAGGAATGAGAGACACAAAGGCCTCTCGCTGTTGCCGGTGATCGTCATGCCACACCACCAGGAAGCCCCCTGTACCCTGACCTGGGCTCTCCAATGCAGCGTCAGAAGCAGCAAGGAAACGGAGCCCTGCATGTGGCCAGATTTCAATGTGTCTGGAGGGTCGGGTGGTGATGACGGTGCGCAAAAGGCTGAAGCATTGGCGCAACTCCTCAGTCAACTCTGCGGAGCGCTCCTGCTGTCTGCGCTTGATAGGGGCCAGGCCACCGCAGCCAATGCGCCCCCACACGCCAAGCTCAAAGAAGTTGGCGATGCCGTAGATCTTGGCAGCCACCCCTGGTGGCAGTTTACTGGAATCCTCGGCAGTCTTCATGAGGTGGAGCAACTTGGTCTCAATGCGCTCACGGGCCCAAAACTGAACCAGGCCCTTCGAATGAACTTGACTGAAATCATGATCAAGGCCCAGGAAGGTGCCGGCACTCTGCATCTTCTGGCATGTCTCTTCTGAAAACGGAGTACCCAAAAGGGTGTTGAGTGTCTGCATCGCACGTTGACCTGATCCTCTGCAGGATTTGCGGTCTGTCACATGAGCATCATCAAAATACAAGCTCGTCAAACAAAAGGCAAATCTACGTGATAAAGCCTCCACAAAGCGACTGTATCGATTGAAAGATGTGACTGCAAGAGGAAGACCAAAAAGCAAACCAGTGTAAATCATAAAAGCTGGTTGTTGCCATTCATGATGGAAGAAAGCCACAATGCAGCACAAAGCCTCGTCCCAACTCATAGGGCAAAAACGATAGGCATCAGGCCAATCCTCGCCACCTGACTCCCATTCTTCCGCCTCCCAGCTGGGGGGCCTCCCGTAGGCATAGGCGTACTGCAGGTGCTGAGCCGGCCGCAGCGCTGAGCAAAGAGTGAGCTTGTTCGCGTCACTGGATCGCTCAGATTGCAAGCCGACATAGGCGTCGTCAATCACTCTTTGCTTCCCAGATGATTGTGTGATGACGCATCGGGGGATCAACCGGTAGGGTTCCGTGCCCAGACAACGATGCAGTTCCTCTGCAGTCATTGGCAAACCACAGAAGCCCTTCTCGGCATCTTTGAGGCTTTGCTGCAGCAGAAATTCGTCATCGGCGCCTGGCCTCAGCCGAGCCAAAATGGTGTTGTTGTGGCTCTGCCAGTCCTGGAGGACATTGTCCCGTGTCAGATGGGTGGCGGCTTGTTCTGGAAAAATGCCATACGGCGGCGCATAGCCCACTGCTGGAAGCCACATACACAGGCCTGCTGGCAGTGTCACATCGCCCCAATTGGCCAAAAGAAGGAGAATTGCTGTGAAACCGACATCTCGTTGCAATGTTGCTGTCCGGATGGCCTCAGTCTGTTTGCCTCTCAAATGGGCCGTGATCGTGCTCCACCGCCGCTTCATCTCTGATAAGATGCCCATGGATCGCTCTCTCAACCTACGCAGGTCGACTCCTGGCAGGCTGGAGAAAGACGCGGCAAACCTCAGGTCATCATCCAAAATGGGAAGCCCCTCAGTAGGCAAAGGTTGCATGCTAAGCTGAAGGGCGTTCTCGAAGTGCTGGTCTGGCAGAAGGTGGAAAGGCAGAAGGGGGGCTAAAGCCGCTCTGTGGTTGATGGCTCCCACCTGCTGACCTTCCGCTGTCCTCATCTTCTGCCTCACCGAAGGGGCTGCCAAAACTTGGTTGCTGCTGCCCTCCATGTCCAGCCCCTGCTGGTGGCGCCATCGCACATACAGGTCAAGCGGGTGTTGGTTCACCAGGTCCTCCACGAAGGGGATGGCTACACCTTCAAACCATTCTCCTGGGTAAAGCTTCTTGAAAGCTAACGCCAAAGACTCTTGCAGAATGTAGAATGGCCCAAAAGGGATACCTGTAGCCTGCGCGACACTCGACAAGATGACACTTCGGGTAACTCCCTTGTGACTCCTGCCATGCTGTCCTTGGACCACTTGTGGGGCTCCTCGATGGCCCTGCGAACTCAAGCGATCAAAAATCAGCCCGGCTAGGAGGTCGGCCTCGCAAGTCTGGGCTGCCGGGCAATCGCAGACTAGCACTGAGCCTTCTAGCTCATCCAACTCGCACCAGAGTGTCTCCCTGATGTATTGGACATAGTAGGGGACCCAGTCTTGAGGGGTGCAATTCACTCCAACCTGCCATGGAGACTTCCATTTGGTGGTAGGTAGGCGGTGGGTATGACTCCCCAGCCCCACGTACACATGACCAGGGGGGAGTGCACAAGACATCCTCGACACATGCTCTGGTGGGCACCCTGGCTGCTTCGGCTGTGTCCAAGGGCCTCAACCCCAGGCTGATGGCTAGTGGAGTCATAGCCCACTCGCGAAGTGCTCTGGGATCAAGATCAAGCCAATGGTCCCGATGGCCAGTGCAGCTCGGTGATGGTGACCTCGGCACATAGAGCTTGGCGTGGCCCACACGCACTGCCCACCACGATGCCGCCGTGGCGATGGCAAAGCATAGCTCTGCTGTGTACTCTGACTCCTCAGATGAAGGGAAGTGGCGCTTACCATCCTGCACCCAAGGTTCCCATTCCTGTGGGTCATGAAAGTGGTTGCAATCAGCTCTGGGCCATTGGGCAATCTCAGCAATGTTGTGACGCAGCCGCTGCAGCTTCGCTCTTGCGCCTCCAAAACAGCAAGCTGAATACCGCTGGTCTGACCAGCGACCGCTCTCCCACATCGCCACCTCATCTGGCGTCCACCAGTGGAGGCTGTTGTATGGGTTCTCGCGGACTGATCCACCACCCCTGTCCACCAGTTGATCGATCTCTGACAGCACAAAACTGGCAGCTGCATTGTCCTGCTCCACCCTGGCCAACTGAGACCCTGTCAACTCAGGGAGACCCAGCGGGTGTTTCTCAGATCGCAACGGTCGGGGTGGTGGGCGCCCATCACCAAAGTCGCGCGGGATCTCCCTTGCTCTGCTTTTGGTCGAGCAGTCCAAAGCTGCTGCTATGAAGCACACTGACTGTAACTGCTCATGCAAGGATTGCTGCCTAAGGCCATTGGATAGGTCATGACTGCTGTCAAGCATCCAATCCACTGAGATGGTCTCCCAACCACAAAAGATGAAGGCTTTGGACAAAGGTGTGTTGGGCCCCGCATAAAGATCCGCCATCCGTGGCAGCTGACAGTTGACTCTGTCTACGGGTCTCGCCTCATCCTGCCCAGCAGAAGTGCCCGCCTCTCCCGCTGGGCCCCGTCATGGCGAAATCTTCGCCCGACATTGGCTGGCCCCATGCCCCGGCATACCACAAATGCGTTCTCCTCGGACCACGCCACACTTGTGCTGACCTTTTGGGGTTCATCCATGTTGGAAGGCCAAATCTTGGAGCCATCTCGCATCACCTCCACCTTCTTGCCGCTCACCGGCTTACCCAAGGCAAACTGGGATGGCAGCTGAGCCGCTGCTGCTGGCGCCGCTGTGGGCTTGCTCCTCTCTGCCTTGG